TGAGATTATGGTGAAATCACATTACAGTTACACTATTACATTACTTCGGACACTTATATGGTGGAACCAAATATGTAAAATCCGGATTGGAGTATTATTTATGAGTCGCATTGTTGTAATGTATTCTGGGTAAAATTATCTTTATCCCGGTTGTTGCGACAAGTAAAAATGCTCTTATTAGGGAAAGGAGATTACTCGACGTTTCAATGTAACTACATCGTATTCATGATCTCAAATTATTTGTTATATAGTAATGTTGAAAGTATTAACCAAATATCGTAGACTCAAAGATAAGATTAATAGTAATACGACCATGGACTTATTAAACACAGTCGTAAAACTCAAATGATGAACACGTATACTGTACAGAAATCTTACCTCCCAATATACGTTAGGATCTCCTAAAGATCCATGTTTTGGTGCGGCCAGAGAGACCAATGTTTTGGTGCGGCCAGAGAGACCAATGTTGACAGAAATTTACTGTAAACATTGGCCTCACCGAAGCATGTTTCTCCACGTAATTTTAAAGGTACGATTTGTGCACAGTAAAAATATAGCAGTTACCCTGTGTTAAACTAATATACTACCTCGCGTAGGATTTGATAGTTTAACAACCATAAATAAAGGATATGTACTAGCACTATGGAAGGTCCTGGAAGAGTGAACAATCAGGCTGAGACCAACCCATTAAACATTGTGTCATGTTTTTACCCTCTGTATACTCATCGTTTACAAAATCAAATAGAATGAAATGTCAGTCAAATTCTTTCAGTGCTGCATGTAGTTGTAACGCGGATTGTAATGTTGTGCCTCAAGTGCTAGGGCCTGTCGTGATATTATGGATCGCTTATGTTCCACCAGGATCTGGTAGTCTTCATAATTCTGCGGCCTCTATGTATCGTCATCTCGCACAACTCTCTAACTTTAAGAATCTTGTGAATTTGGCATGAGAAAATTTGCAGCCTTCCAGACATTGAATGGGTCAACGAGGTGTCGTACGTCACCTCAAGATCGGGTGACAGGGGGCTGACCAGGCCAGAACCCAATTGATTGGGTATAAGTGACAAGTGCTCCAAAAAGTTTCTCGGCGATAGAATAATGGAACAAGGAAAAATGTAAATAAAGAAAATTTGTTATAGATGTGGATTCTCGTATCGTGGGGAGGAGAGGTACATTTTTTAACTTCAATAGTAAGTACCTGAGAGAGAAATCGATTTAACTAGGTTTCAGAACCCACAAACACTTCCTTATCCCTTAAAATTGATGTTTTACAGTTAATACGAGCAGCAAGCAACACATATTTTGATCTTCGGGGGTTAAACCGAAACCGAAAGATCGAGGCAATCGTCAACTTAACTGATCGAACAGGTACTAACATAATTTTCAGAGAGAAATGTTCGTTGCAATATGTTTATTGCAGCTTTGCAACTTGATTGAAGAGCAGAGTACGAAAACACACAGCAGGTAAGCAACTCATTTTGGTGACTGTTCCTCACCTGACATTGCACGAGAAATCGATTTAAGTTGGTTTTACAACTCAACAACCTTATCCCTAAAATTTATGCTTTACTCAAACGAAGAACATTTTGATCTTGCAACAAAAGAACAAGGAGATCGTCTTCTTAAAAAATCGAACGGGTACTACCCGGGGTAGTGGGTAATACCTTACGAGAAATATTAAAAAGGTATGAAAGTCGGTGGTTTTCCGAAAAAACACCATATTTTCGGACTACCACAATTTAGGTCACCATCATCATTTTCCCCAAATTATTTTTCACGTATTTTCTTTAATTAGGTATGACTTTGTCGAAAAACCTCACCGAACCTCCACGCGGTGTGGGGTGGGTGGCTCGAACGGGAGGTGCATGGGTGTTTCTAACCTATGCAAAGGAAGGGACTAGCCATCTCTACAACAAGGAAAGGCTCTAATAGCCTCTACTAACCTTAGAACCGCAGCATAACCGCTTTTCCCACAGGCAAATAACACCTTCCGCAGGAAACTAACACGCTCACAGGCCCCCACATGACGTGTAACCCCAGGATTTGGTTTTGGATCGGACGCTGAAAACAACGATAGAGTCTACACGCTCACAGACTACCACGTCTCGTGTAACCCCAGGATTTGACACGTTCACAGGCTACCAAGTCTCGTGTAACCTTAGGATTTAACACGCTCACAGGCTACCACGTCTCGTGTAACCCTAGGACTCTAACACTTAACAGACTCTAACACGCTCACAGGATTCCACGTCTCGTGTACCCTAGGATTTTGTTTTGGATCGGACACTCAAAACAACGATAGAGGAGCAGTCTACACGCTCACAGGCTACCATGTCTCGTGTAACCCCAGGATTTTACACGTTCACAGGCTACCACGCCTCGTGTACCCTAGGATTTGACACGCTCACAGGCTACCAAGTCTCGTGTAACCTTAGGACTCGAACACTTAACAGATTCTAACACGCTCACAGGCTTCCACGTCTCGTGTACCCTAGGATTTGGTTTTGGATCGGACACTCAAAACAACAATAGAGGAGCGGTCTACACGCACACAGGCTACCATGTCTCGTGTAACCCTAGGATTTAACACGCTCACAGGCTACCAAGTCTCGTGTAACCTTAGGACTCTAACACTTAACAGACTCTAACACGCTCACAGGCTTCCACGTCTCGTGTACCCTAGGATTTGGTTTTTGGATCGGACACTCAAAACAACGATAGAGGAGCGGTCTACACGCTCACAGACTACCACGTCTCGTGTAACCTTAGGATTTAACACGCTCACAGGCTACCACGTCTCGTGTAACCCTAGGACTCTAACACTTAACAGACTCTAATACGCTCACAGGCTTCCACGTCTCGGGTACCCTAGGATTTGGTTTTGGATCGGACACTCAAAAGAACGATAGAGGAGTGGTCTACACGCTCACAGGCTACCATGTCTCGTGTAACCCCAGGATTTTACACGTTCACAGGCTACTACGCCTCGTGTACCCTAGGATTTTGTTTTTGGATCGGACACTCAAAACAACGATAGAGGAGCGGTCTACACGCTCACAGACTACCAAGTCTCGTGTAACCTCAGGATTTAACACGCTCACAGGCTACCACGTCTTGTGTAACCCTAGGATTTGGTTTTGGATCGGACACTCAAAACAACGGTAGAGGAGCGGACTACACGAGTACACGCTCACAGGCTACCATGTCTCGTGTCACCCCAGGATTTTACACGTTCAAAGGCTACCACGCCTCGTGTACCCTAGGATTTGGTTTTGGATCGGACACTCAAAACAACGATAGAGGAGCGGTCTACACTCTACACGCTCACAGGCTACCATGTCTCGTGTAACCCTAGGATTTAACACGCTCACAGGCTACCAAGTCTCGTGTAACCTTAGGACTCTAACACTTAACAGACTCTAACACGCTCACAGGCTTCCACGTCTCGTGTACCCTAGGATTTGGTTTTTGGATCGGACACTCAAAACAACGACAGAGGAGTGGTCTACATAGTGACGTTACAGGAACATTGCATACTCCTACGAGTTGCATGTAGCAGGCCATGACCGTCCCTGGAAGTCCCTGTCTCCTCATCGTTAACCCGTAAGGGGTTGCACCAGGGGCGGTGGTAACAGAACTTCAAGACTCTCGGATTCTGTTGTCGATATCTATGTATAATATAATTATGGTATATAACTTGGGAGTCTCTCTCTCTAGCAGCAGGAGTTGGAGAATGGGGACGCGTTGTGAAAGCCACCGCAAGGAAGGCTTACAGTCGACGCCGACCAATCAAAAGAAGAAAGAAGAAGACTTTGTCGATTTACTATCAATTTAGTAAGTTATAAATATGATTCATAACGGTTGAACACGTTCCATTTATAGAAGTCAGCAAGCTCTGCTACTATTTCATTTGCCACGGCGGTGAAATTTCGGGAGCGGTGGAGGAAAATAAATGCCGGCGGTCTCCCATTCCGATTCCCGTCTGGAGGATTAGAAGTCAAGTTAAAACTAACTTTTAAAGGCGCCGGAGAAACTGTTCATAAGATGAAACAGCTTGTTAGAGGTGCCTACACCTGGGACTACACTGGAGAGAGAAACGTCCCTGAACCAGAAGAAGAAATTGACTTGTAATTTTTCAAATTTCATATTTTATTTTATTGATTTTCTCAAATAAAAAATTCCTCAAATACGATGATTTAATTTGGGGTGCGAAATGCGGTGGATTTCGGAAAAAAATCTCATATTTTCGTTACCAAATTTAAATTGAATGTTGTGACTAGAAATAATTGCAGTTACGTTACTTAAATTCAAATTGGGTCAATTGTGCGTGTTGCTGGGTTGATTATCTTCATGTTCGTAAATAAATTTAATAATTTAAGGCAAAATGTTTTATTGAATGTAAGCAAGAGACCTCCAAGATTTAAAAAAATTACCTCCGGACCTCAGGCTTTTCTGTTCATAAACAGATTGAAGTCGGAACGACAGGCTCAGCACCGCCCAGTCACTGAAAGAAATGTGAAGATCCAGATTCGGTGGTATACTATTTGCCGTATCCCGCTACTTCAACCTATTATTAACTGGCTTTGTCCTTGAGTTCAATCAAATTCGTTCACAGATTTGAGAGAATTTTTTTGTTTCCAGCGTTATGGTAATCTTGGCAGGGCACTTTGTATTCTACTTCTTGAACAGTAACCATTCAAAACAATACTACAGAACAAAAGTTCCTTATATAATATATATAGGTGAAGTTTAGAAAAAGTTTCCTTGTATGTGTGCTAGAAGTAAGATATCGTGTTCACGGTCCTGAATTGACAAAATCACGAGATGCCAGTATATCAATAGTTATTTTCCTTACTATAGTTAGTTACTATAGTTACTAGTTACTATGGTTCCATACTATAGTAATACCGATAAAAATATTAACATATTATGACATGGCACAAACAAAAATGAAATGGCTTTTTATCATGGCTTACCCCTCAAATGAAAACAAAGCAATTGTTAGTCTTAAAGTCTGAACTATTAACAATCAATTGAAATTGAAGAAATCATAATCGCAAATTCAAATTATAATGTATCTGATAAAATTTCCGCAGTTGGTGTCTTGTTTCTTCGTCTTCTAGCTAGGCGTATGACTATCTTACTCGCTCTAACGTCTCTTCAGTCTACTATGTTTCACTTTATTTCACTTTATTTAACTTTATTTCACTATCTTTTACCGTCTGAACATGGTATCCTAAATGTCCTCACTTCATTCCCACGTGGTTCTGTCCTCTTTGATATGAAGTAAAGCATTGATCGATGGGCGATGAGGAAATAAGTGATCAAGTTATCAGGTGAAATGACTTACACTGCCATATGGTAGGTGATATTGTGATATGGTAAGTGATAATGTGATATGATAGGAGATATAGTGATATGATAGGAGATATTGTGATATGGTAGATGATATTGTGATATGGTAATTGATATTGTGATATGATAGGTGATATTGTGATATGAAAGTTGTCATTGCATTATACCAAGTGGTATCACTGATCCTGAGAAAAGATAGCTGCTCTTATGACTATGAGATGTGAGATTGTGTGAGGTGATATCGTGAGATAACAAGTAGTGCCTACTCCTGATATCTTCACTTGTATCTCTTGTAAAGCCAGAACGCGAACACAAGGTTGCAGATCTCCACCACCACAAATACTATTGCTACAATTCCCATTAACTTGAGGTTACCCGTCACGAAATCCTCCAGCTTCGTCACACAGCCCTGAAAATGGTTTCAAATACAGAATTAATTCAATCTTAACGTAATTAATCCAATAAGTTTAAGAATTTTTTAAAACGTTTTGAATTTTGATAAACTTACATTTGTGTGAATTGAGTCAGCTTTGGTGCCCTGGTTTTCCCCGCACTTCAGCTCCACCTTTAGACAGCATGAGTCAGGCACGTGAGTGGAGTTACCAGCAGCAACCCACTTTACAGCTAGCGTGGAGTTAGAATAGTCTTTGTAGTCAGTCAACCCGCAGCAGTCGAGATTCTCCTGAAAGTATTTAGTCAGTTTTAGTTTCGGATTTCCCTATTATTTGATTATTAAGACTTCACTCTGATATAATATTATAGTGAAATACTCTGAATTCTGATATACTGATATCAAAGTGAAATCAGGTTACCTGAGCTAAATTGAGAGCGGTTGTATAAGCCTCCTCCTCCGACTCGGTCCCTCCGTACGCCGCTAGAGATTTGGTGATTCCTTCCCTGATATAAGACTCAGCATCGTCTTGGAAGAGGAAAGCGATGACTATCCCAGCCAGTTGAATTAGGATTATTATCAGAAGAAAAATTCCATACTGAAATAAAACATTATTACTTAAAGTTGAGTTACTGTGGGTTTTAGATAATATTATATTATATATACCCAAGTTCGTTTAATTATGGCGGGTTAAATTCGGCGGTTTTTCGGAAATTCCGTCTTATTTTAACCCGCCATTATTTTTACCCGCCATAATAAAAACCCGCCGAGTCAACTTTTGGATTACTGACAGGGAATATATCATAATAATTGTATCGTTCCTATTTTACATTGAAACAAGGGTCATGAACTCACTTTCTAGGTAGTCCGACCATAGCGAGGTGGTTTTATTCAAATACGTTGGTTGTAATAGACGAATAAGTACTGTCAAACTGATTGATACCGTACTATGATACTTATTACCTATTCAAACTTACTACCTATTCATATCAATTACTAAGATATTATACTACAATACTTTTAATTTAAAATGTTATTTTACTTTGAAACTGCGAACAAAAACGCAGTCTGGAAGCAAAATTGGGTAGAATTTTGCAATATGACTGGTAAATTCGGTGGATTTCAAATTTTGTTCCGAAAATAATATTGCAGGTAAATAAGTCGCGTGTTAAATTTGGAGGGTTTTCATTGTAGAACATCTACAATGAAGTGTACTGTAAAGAAAGGGCAGTCGAACTATACGACGACCTTGTAGAGGCATCGACGAACTTTCTAAGTAATAAAAAAATTATTATTATAGATGATTTATAACTTAAGTTAATACAGAGAGTAACGTTTAACTAAAAGCATAAGTATAACTCAGAGGGTATAAATATTGGTTTTCATTCCAAAACCCTCGAACTACACTCACCAGGTAACACGTGGTAACCCAAGTAACACGTGGTAACCCAGGTAACAAGTGGTAACCCAGGTAACACGTGGTAACCCAGGTAACACGTGGTAACTCCAGGTAACACGTGGTAACCCAGGTAACACGTGGTAACCCAGGTAACACGTGGTAACCCAGGTAACACGTGGTAACCCAGGTAACACGTGGTAACCCAGGTAACACGTGGTAACCCAGGTAACACGTGGTAACCCAGGTAACACGTGGTAACCCAGGTAACACGTGGTAACCCAGGTAACACGTGGTAACCAGGTAACACGTGGTAACCCAGGTAACACGTGGTAACCCAGGTAACACGTGGTAACCCAGGTAACACGTGGTAAACCAGGTAACACGTGGTAAACCAGGTAACACGTGGTAACCCAGGTAACACGTGGTAAAACCCAGGTAACCCAGGTAACACATGGTAACCCAGGTAACACGTGGTAACCTAGGTAAACTCTCGAACTACACTCACCAGTAAGAGCATGCAGCCGTTCTTCTTAGCGGCTCCACAACAGCCCAGGAAGCCGATAAGAGCGATAAGGAACCCGACCACTAGAAGAACAACACTCGCACTGAAGAGACCACCGTCCATAAGCTCTGAGTAGTCTTTACCATCTATAAAGATGTAGAGACCCACTGCAAACAGGGCCACACCTAGCAACTGAGGTTATATTATATTATTGATAAACTAGTTAAGCGCAAATAACAAACTTTACATTGTGCAACAACATTCAGTATTCATTCGCATGAATGGAAACCCCCAGCCCACTTTTATTTATGTTTTTAAATAAGTTAAGAGCACCTCAAATAGATAGAAAAGGGAGAATAAGTATGACTTACCCATACTACTATGTTGCAGATAAACAGTACGATCCGTACCACTCCTGTTCCACACGACATTGCTGAAGAAAAATCGTCACATTTCTAGTATTATAGAAAAAAGGTACTTATTTAGTATAATAGCTGTAAATGAATTTTGATCAGTATGTGACTGATGCAAGACTGTACCTAGGTATATTCTGATTCCCAGAAAAACATAACCAGGAGTGGTAAACTACAAGAAGATGGATCTTTTCTTGAACAAAAATATAAATGTTCGAAAAGATGCCATCGAAAACACTCCACTTCATTTCTGTTCGCTTATGTTAATTTAAAGTAACAAAATATTCAATGAATGAAATAATATATACATATATAAACGTAGCATTGATAATGATCAGTTATAATGGAAGAAAAAAATTTAAATGACGAATTAATAAAGTTTAAACTATCACATCTTGAAACAAGAATATAATTGACATGCCGGACATGAGCCGTTTATAAAACAAACATGAACTGTATGTATAATATGTGAGTAAACCACTAGGCTGATAACAGGAAGTTCGTATCGTGCTCACACAACATGAAACTCGTGCCGACACGCTTACCAATTAGATAAACACTGGCTCAAAACATAAATAAATAGATAAAAAGTTGAACATAAAACAAATGGAGATGCGAAAATATATACAAGAGTACAAGCATTGGAGTTCAGAATTCAGAAATGATGGAGTTATAGAGATTATTGTTAACATCGAGCACTTCCCATAACACGTGGTAACGAGCCTATCAAACCTACCTTAACAAGTCTTTAGGGTGGGACTATCATGAACAACCCTTCACAGAAATGCTTGTGGCAAATTAGTTCCCAGAATAAAGGTTTTTCCAAAAATAGATGCTCTCAGAATGGCTCATTATGGTGTTCAAATAACACATCTTTGATACAATCGCGTACATATATCTATATATGCAAATAATCTGCTTTGATAGTGCAATCAAGAAGTTGTAGATTACATTTCAATAACACTATAACAATAATAATGATTGTACTGCAAAAGCCCTGTCACATATAGGATGGCTTGCACGTGTTGACCAAGTGAGTGAAGCCAGGTGACTGTTTAACTGTAAGTGTATTGCTATTCAATTAGTCATATTTGTCATTGTTCCAGTATCTGAATATTCCTTGTCACAAGGCTTTCGCCATGATACTACTACTTAGTGAAACGACAATGGGGGTTACGCGACACGACGTGATACAAAATATTCCATGATATATAAGAATCGTGAGCTAGATTTATAAGGTAACTACAGGGTAGTATGTGACATATTGCACAATGCCGCATGCTCAAATCACACTTTATCACATATCATTTGAACATTCTTCGTCGCATACAGCATACTATTACTTCTGGCCTAGTAATTTAAAAGTTTGTAAAAAATGACTCAACAAATAAATGGATCGCCCAAAATTGTAGCCAATCACCACCCGAGTCGAAAGGTTACAGACTGTTCCGAAATTCAAAATAAATTATGAAAAGTGAAAACAATTATTTTTAAGGGCATCAAATTGATGTTCTGAAAAGTATTTTGCACCTTATAACTTTATAAACATGCTACCTGATATTTGTAAACCACGTGTAATACGTGTACGTGTACCAATTGGAGTGTTAGATATCTTCTAGGAATAAATATTTGAATTAAGCAGGTCAAAGTAGTCGAACTTCAAAGTTTGTCGAACTAGAGTGCGTGTTGAATTACAGTGCGTGTTGAACTACAGTGCGTGTTGAACTAGAGTGAGTGTTGAACTACAGTGCGTGTTGAACTACAGTGCGTGTTGAACTACAGTGCGTGTTGAACTACAGTGCGTGTTGAACTACAGTGCGTGTCGAACTACAGTGCGTGTTGAACTACAGTGCGTGTTGAACTACAGTGCGTGTCGAACTACAGTGCGTGTTGAACTACAGTGCGTGTCGAACTACAGTGCGTGTCGAACGACAGTGCGTGTTGAACTACAGTGCGTGTCGAACGACAGTGCGTGTTGAACTACAGTGCGTGTTGAACTAGAGTGCGTGTTGAACTACAGTGCGTGTTGAACTACAGTGCGTGTCGAACGACAGTGCGTGTTGAACTACAGTGCGTGTTGAACTACAGTGCGTGTTGAACTACAGTTCATGGTGAACTACAGTGCGTGTTGAACTAGAGTGCGTGTTGAACTACAGTGCGTGTTGAACTAGAGTACGTGTCGAACTAGAGTGCGTGTTGAACTAGAGTGCGTGTTGAACTAGAGTACGTGTCGAACTACAGTGCGTGTTGAACTAGAGTGCGTGTTGAACTACAGTGCGTGTTGAACTAGAGTGCGTGTTGAACTAGAGTGCGTGTTGAACTACAGTGCGTGTTGAACTACAGTGCGTGTCGAACGACAGTGCGTGTTGAACTACAGTGCGTGTTGAACTACAGTTCATGGTGAACTACAGTGCGTGTTGAACTAGAGTGCGTGTTGAACTACAGTGCGTGTTGAACTAGAGTACGTGTCGAACTACAGTGCGTGTTGAACTAGAGTGCGTGTTGAACTAGAGTACGTGTCGAACTACAGTGCGTGTTGAACTAGAGTGCGTGTTGAACTACAGTGCGTGTTGAACTACAGTGCATGTCGAACTACAGTGCATGTCGAACTACAGTGCATGTCGAACTACAGTGCATGTCGAACTAGAGTACGTGTTGAACTTGAATTACAGTGCATGTCGAACTACAGTGCATGTCGAACTAGAGTACGTGTCGAACTACAGTGCGTGTTGAACTAGAGTGCGTGTTGAACTAGAGTACGTGTCGAACTACAGTGCGTGTTGAACTAGAGTGCGTGTTGAACTACAGTGCGTGTTGAACTACAGTGCATGTCGAACTACAGTGCATGTCGAACTACAGTGCATGTCGAACTACAGTGCATGTCGAACTAGAGTACGTGTTGAACTTGAATTACAGTGCATGTCGAACTACAGTGCATGTCGAACTACAGTGCATGTCGAACTAGAGTACGTGTTGAACTTGAACTACAGTGCATGTCGAACTACAGTGCATGTCGAACTAGAGTACGTGTTGAACTTGAATTACAGTGCATGTCGAACTAGAGTACGCGTACTGAAAACTTTGACCACATGCACAGTAGTTGTACTTGAGTAATTGTAACTGTAAGACGTAAGTACTTAAAGAGGGAACATTACTAAAGCTAAACGAAATTACTAAACGCTACATCTGAAATTGTAAGTGCACAAGGAATATAATATAGTACAGTGTATATAAACACTATCGAATTTAAATGTTTATAGAAGTGTTTCGCATAGATATGCCGATTAAAAATAGAAAAGGAAGACGCTCAAATTTGCTGTATTTTTTTTCTAATTCTGAAAATCAATTGGGTTTTCCACTGGAAAGAAAAAAAGTAAGGTATGCCAACATGCAGTTAATTGAAAAACTATTGAATATTGATACACGGACCATTTCAAATTGAACAATATGCGACTATTTAATGGGTTTGTGACTTTTTAATGGGTTGTGTAAGCTTGATGAGGGGAGCCGTATCAAGTTTCAAGTTTCATTACAATGTTGCATATTATAGCTGTGATCTAGTGCTGACTCGTACAAGTCACTGGAATATAAAAGTTGCTTCCAAAGAAACGTTCACAATGTAGATACTAGATTGTCCATAGTTTGCTACTTGAGCTAAATTTAACTACCTTATTGGACTTTATTTGAACGGACATTAATTGGACGCTGGACGCCTTAGAGTTCATTTTAATGTCCGTTCAAATAAAGTCCGACAAGGTTTTTAGATTAAATATATTAAATGAATGTCTTTGAGTGTTCATTTTAATGTCCGTTGATCAAAATTATGTCCGTTCACAAAATATCCGGTCAAATAACGTCCGATAAGGTAACTCTGCTGATATCTTGAAGAATTAAACGCATGTGGTATTTAACGCGAGAGAAGCACTGCAGAGCAGACGCAAGAAGCTAGGCTGCTTAGCTACCTACAATCTACATATGTTGAGAACAAAGACACACCGAAAACGAAGAGACACAATTAAGCTGTATTGAGGTGCTTGTAGATACATACCTGTAATTAGTGTGTAAATATTACTTTCAGGAAAGGTTACATTTACAAATAATAAGATAATATACGCTTGCGCCCTCTTTTGCCAGTGACACTGTCTATTTATAGTCGAGGTCGCAACGTACTGAAACTCTCTTCAACACGTTGCAACCCCTTTTCTAAGAAAAGATAAGAGATATACAACATATAGCAAAACTCTCTTCAACAAAGCTGGTCAATTAAAGCTTTTGTAATAAAGCCATTTAAATCAGATGGTATTTGGTTCAGGATCAGTTATTCAGTAACATAGATGGATTCTCAACTAACCCAAAAGTAAACTTTAGTCATCTAATATAATAGAACACAGCGTTCGATATTATACCATTTACTAAAGATAATAATAAATAGTGTTTAGTAGTACAGTGTTTAGTGTTTAGTATTGCAGTGTTCAATGTTTAGTATTACAGTGTTTAATGTTTAGTATTACAGTGTTTAATGTTTAGTATTGCAGTGTTTAGTGTTTAGTATTGCAGTGTTTAGTGTTTAGTATTACAGTGTTTAGTGTTTAGTATTACAGTGTTTAGTGTTTAGTATTACAGTGTTTAATGTTTAGTAGTACAGTGTTTAGTGTTCAGTATTGCAGTGTTTAATGTTTAGTATTACAGTGTTAAGTGTGTAGTATTGCAGTGTTTAGTGTTTAGTATTGCAGTGTTTAATGTTTAGTATTACAGTGTTTAATGTTTAGTATTACAGTGTTTAATGTTTAGTATTGCAGTGTTAAGTGTGTAGTATTGCAGTGTTTAGTGTTTAGTATTGCAGTGTTCAATGTTTAGTATTACAGTGTTTAATGTTTAGTATTACAGTGTTTAATGTTTAGTATTGCAGTGTTTAGTGTTTAGTATTGCAGTGTTTAGTGTTTAGTATTACAGTGTTTAGTGTTTAGTATTACAGTGTTTAGTGTTTAGTATTGCAGTGTTCAATGTTTAGTAGTACAGT